TATGAGTTTGTATGTAATGTATGAATATAATATACAAGTTTCACTTTTTAAATGGAATTACTGAAATAAATCTACTTTTTCATGATATTCTAATTTTATGACCAGCACCTGTATATGGTGACAGACACATGATCAATATTAATAGAAAATGCATCCGACAGACTGATGATTTAACTGAACTCTGATCTAGAATCACACGGCATTCTAGGGGGTGTAGGCAGAGGAAAGGCTTTTAGCTGCTCACCCTCTCACGGCCTGGCTAAGCAAGGTTGGTGGCATCAGCTAACTCACTATTTGATAAGCTAGCAATAACGTTGAGTAAAATGCACAGTAGCACTTACACATTTCACCACCATGCCTCAGAACCGCTTTAAAATAAAAAAAAAATAATGACAAGGAGTGAAAGGAGAAAAATGCGTTAAACGGTTCAAGAGGAAAAGAGAAAAGGTCACATCACCAGTTTGATGGTATTAATCAGTGTTTTTTTTCTCCTGGTACTTATTTTAGATAGATAAAAAAGCAATCAATAATTAACGATATCAACTGATATGAAACACTTACATTGTGATACTTTTTTCAGCCATAGCAGGGGAACAGAACTGCTTCTTCTGGTCTTCCTTCAGAAAGGTCTTAGAGKCTTCACCTCAAAAATGAGGGCACTGCTTCAGTCTGTTGCGATAAAAAAAATGAGTCAATAGACWCTGGTCTATAATGGGATTTGAATCATGAACTAAAGAGTGAGACACTGGATGCAAACAGCCTAAATGAGCTTCCTGTGTAACKTGGCCAAGCTCAGCTTTAAAAATAAACCTGCTGCTCCTCCACATCAATAAAGATCAGCTGAGGTGGTTTAGGCACCAGATAAGAAGCCTCTTGATTKCCTCCCTTTGAAGGTTTCCCAGTCAGGTACCACTGAGAGGAGACCCCTGAGGCAGACACAAGTGTGAAGCTGTAGAGAGGAATGTCTGGGTTCCCCTACCTAAATTGTCACCTCCACAGTCTGACAGTATAAACAGAAGAAAATGGGTGAATGGGTGTTATAAAATGCAGTACCTAGTGAGGAGAACCTTTTTTGTTTGTTTTTTTAACATTTTTAACAATACAGTAATTAGCTATCTAATGCAAGTAATGACTGCATAAAAGGCGTGAAGAGCAGTTTTAAGTGTGTGCTTTTTTTTCCTCACCAGGTTTCGGATGCAGCAGGTGAATATTGTTGGCTCCGGTCCAATGAGCGCTCCCTCCAGGTTGATCCAAACCTTGCAGGCTGCCCCCGACGCACACCCGTCCAACCTGAAGCTTGTCTCTGCCACACAGACCAGCCTACGTTTCAGCTGGAAGGTAGTGAAACACACACAAGTGCGCACAAATCAAACACATGCCTGACTCTGCGAAATCATTAACCTTTATTCCGCCCCTCACGCTCATTTAAATAGTGCTAATTTGACTGGGATTTCTCTTGTTTCTTTGCTGACCTTCTCTGTGTATTTGCTCCTATTTTTACATCGGTGCTCGAGYGCTCAGAGTGTAAGTGTTCGCTCACCAGCAACGCGACTGAACAGGTCCAGTGTGTGGCAGCTTATAATCAGTGCCTTTCTTGGTTATCATTGCTCAGAGTAATCCGTCACATTTCCCATTCACCATTTTGGCCCGCCACCAGCACAAACGGCAATGTAATATTCTCCTCACACAGTCTTTCTTTTGCTCGTCTTTCTGTCCCGCTCTTTATTCTTTTCTCTTTTCGTCCAACCTTTCTTTTTACTCCCCTTCCACTCTTCGATTATAACGTAAATGGAGAGTAGAGTATTTTCCATTTAAGAGTTGGAATGAGAAAAAGAGCCTGTCAAATCAGACACAGACACTGAGACACTACAGTCTACAAGTGCAGCATGCTAATGGGATTTTACCTGTATGTTAGCGTTCAGCCTGAGCTATGCTAGTTTTCTGCTGTAATGGAACCATCACAATGGTTTTAGCCAAGGCTATTATTCTAAGCTGCATATTAAGGGTAATAAAACTAATGTGACATTCTGTATTATGGCTCCTAAATGCTAAGCTGTGCTAAATCACTGTGGTATTTAAAATGACTGGGGTGTCTTACTCACTTATCTGTTGCACAACATGGAATAACCACAGTACGGTGCTGGTTGAAACTGACTGAAAATTACATCCTGTGGACAAGCAGAAGTTTCTGCAATAAGACAATAAGAGGTTGAGATCATCCATATTCATGTGGTGGGTCTGAGGTTGGTAGAGAAGATCACATTATCCAAAAAAAATGTGAAGAGGAGGAAAGAGTCACAAGACAGGTGTAAGGAAATATTTACAGTATAAGGAGAGGATTGGGAGTTGGCATTTCCGTAAAGAAAAGTGAAAGGTTTTTAGCACGCATTTAAAGTTAGACATCATGACAGAAATAATCATATTGTTCAGGGTTACTAAATCCTTGAGTGTGTTAATTATTTCATTGTGGAGACCCAGTTTTGACTTAAGGTAATGTCTGTGATGATGAACTTCATATTTTCATATTTTAATGTGCAAACATTAAACACATGTACAATAGGTTGCCTTCAGGTCCAGGCCTCCCTTGAAAAAAGAGATCTGAGATCTCAATGGGACTTGCCTGGTTAAATAACAGTAAATAAAATAAAATAAAATAAAATAAAATGTGTTATGCAGCGCCTTGCAAAAGTATTCAGTCCCCTTGAACTTTTCAAACTTTTGCCACATTTCAGGCTTCAAACATAAAGATATATTTTTTTAATTTTTTGTGAAGAATCAATAACATGTGAGACACAATTGTGAAGTGGAACAAATTTTATTGGATATTTTAAACTTTTTTAACAAATAAAAAACTGAAAAGTGGGGCGTGCAATATTATTCAGCCCCTTTACTTTCAGTGCAGCAAACTCCCTCCAGAAGTTCACTGAGGATCTCTGAATGATCCATTGTTGTCCTAAATGATGGATGATGATAAATAGAACCCACCTGTGTGTAATCAAGTCTCTGTATAAATGCACCTGCTCTTTGATAGTCTCAGGATTCTGTTTAAAGTGCAGAGAGCATCATGAAGACCAAGGAACACACCAGGCGAGTCTGAGATACTGTTCTGGAGAAGTTTAAAGCTGGATTTGGATACAAAAAGATTTCCCAAGCTTTAAACATCTCAAGGAGCACTAAGCAAGCAATCATATTGAAATGGAAGGAGTATCAGACCACTGCAGATCTATCAAGACTCCACCGTCCCTCTGAACTTTCATCTGGAACAGGGAGAAGACTGATCAGAGATGCAGCCAAGAGGCCCATGATCACTCTGGATGAACTGCAGAGGTCTACAGCTCAGGTGGGAGAGTCTGTCCATAGGACAACAATCAAGGTGCTCTGGTCAGATGAAACCAAAATCTAAATTTTTGGCCTCAATGCAAAACAATATGTTTGGAATAAAAGCACCACAGCTCATCACCCTGAACACACCATCCCCACTGTCAAATATGGTGGTGGCAGCATCATGCTCTGGGGGTGCTTCTCTTCAGCAGGGACCGGGAAGTTGGTCAAAGTTGATGGGAAGATAGATGGAGCCAAATACAGGACCATTCTGGAAGAAAACCTGCTGGAGTCTGCAAAAGGCCTGAGACTGGGACGAAGATTTATCTTCCAACAAGACAATGATCCATAACATAAAGCAAAATCTACAATGGAATGGTTCACAAATAAACATATCCAGGTGTTAGGACGGCCAAGTCAAAGTCCAGACCTGAATCCAATCGAGAATCTGTGGAAAGAGCTGAAAACTGCTGTTCACAAACGCTCTCCATCCAACCTCACTGAGCTCCAGCTGTGTTGCAAGGAAGAATGGGCAAAAATTTCAGTCTCTCCATGTGCAAAACTGATAGAAACATACCACAAGTGACTTGCAACTGTAATCACAGCAAAAGGTGGTGCTACAAAGTATTAACACAAGGGGGCAGAATAATTTTGAACACCCAGTTTTTCAGTTCTTTTTTTTTTTGTTAAAGTTTAAAAAATCCAATAAATGTTGTTCCATTTCATGATTATTTTCGTTGATTTTTCACAAACATTTAAAATTTTATATCTTTATGTTTGAAGCCTGAAATGTGGAAAATGGTTGAAAAATTTCAAGGGAGCCAAATACTTTTGTAAGGCACTATACATTTGCATTTACCAAATTTAAATTCACTTGAAATTATTCTGGTTCAATTTTTGATCTTAATGGTTTATGGTTCCCTTATGGGACATTACTCTCTTGGTGGTACTCAAGGGGGTCAGTGGTCACCTCATATAAATTTGCTGCCCCTTCAATGGCCCCCAGTCTTGATACACATCCTCAGACGAGGTTTTTTTTACTGTAATTTTTTTTATTTCCCATAGCTACTGTATTTGGTATCAGTAGGACCTCCTAAACATAAAAAATAAACATTCTTTTCGAAGAATTATTGGTTTAATATAACTGTCTTAKTCATTRAAATTTGTCTGCCCTGTGAYGTTTCTAGTCTCATTGWAATGTGTTTCCCTTAGARGACAATAAAGTATAAAGKATACTGTATAWATCAGTGTTTCTCGTTGGGAGTTGATTCTCTTGTGGGGGAGGTTTCCGCCCAAAACGAAAAAAAAAAAAGACTTACACATGTGACTCTGTGTGTGTCAGTGTTGGTGACACAGAATATGAACCACATTTTCACTTTTTTTCCCCAAGTTTGGCATTTCATAAGAGAGGGGAATGTGGAAGAGCCGCCACTGAAATACCTCTCGATGTGATCTAATGTTATTTAAATGAAAATAACTACTGTATGTGCCATGAAATTCTTGGAGGGGGCGGGGGGTTAATGAAATGGAAAACACTATATATAGTGTTTATTTATTTATTTTTCTTTTTACTTTAACCTTAAACCCCAGTCTACCTGGATAAAGACATGAGGTCAACAGGTTGAACAGAGTAAAATATGGTGCTGAAAGCCAATGTCCTTACATGAAAATGCAAGGTCTTGGTGGGTTATATGTATAATATTTTTTATGAATATAAAGGACAAGCTTCAGTGAGTTGAGTAGTGACTGGGATGTTCTCAGTCACTAATATTAACTGTAAATGAAGAAACTGAAGCAGGCCCATATCAGAAAGTGATTCCCAAAAGTATTTTTTCAAATAGGTATTTAAAATAGGGCATTGCAGTATTGGAATAAAAATGATTTAGCAAAGTTTTTATTTTTTTATTTTTCTTTTTTCAAATGTATACATGGATGTTAAAAGGGCAGAACTTTTGGCATAATAACATTTACAGGCTTTCTTTGAAAAATGAACTATACCTTTTTGTACTGCACTTCTGTTGTGAAGTAAACAAAAGTCTAAAAAATAATAAATATCTAAGTATAAAACTTCATTAAGATAAACTTTATTGTCCTGAAGGAAATTTGTCTCAGGTACAGACTCTTACTGCTATATAACCCAAAACCATTATGTTTACACATACTAATAATAACTTTTGTATGAATATTATTACTATTATTATAAGTTTTGTTTTAAAAAGCCTGCAGTTTGTCAAGAAGTGAGGATTAATAGCTAGGAAGAGAAATATATATATTTTTTCTTTTCTACCAAAAATAAATAATTTGTTTTGCACCATTGAAAGCATGATGAATAAGTTGGACTTTTTTCATACAGTGATGTCACAGGTTTTGCTCATTTATTTAATGCCTTGGAATGCATCCTGATAGCATTACAGATGTCTTATACACACATGAGAGTTTGTTTTTATAAAAATGCATGTTTTAGTCAAGAATCAGAATCAGAATCAGCTTTATTGTCATTCACACACAACAKCAAAGATGCAATGCAGAACGAAATTGCAGTTAAGAGCACATTAACAACATAAACATGTCATTTGGAGAATAGTGCTATGAGTTTGACAATATGACAAAATTAATAAAAGCAGAAGAGATCACTTGAATTTACTCTTCCCCCATCTCCCCCATCCTCTTTCTTTTAGCCTCTCTCAGAATCAGAGTACAACAGCAGTCCAGATACCGTTGGCTACCGGCTCCGAGTAAGGAAARCAGACAGCGATGGCAAGGACAGAACTGTAGACATGGAGGGAGGTGTGGGCACCACTGAAGCCACAATAGAAGATCTGAGTCCCTGGATCCAGTACCAGGTTCAAATACAAGCCTTCAATTCTATAGGACCAGGACCATGGAGCCCCTCTGTCTCAGCCCACACRGCTGAATCTGGTATGAACACAGACCTCATTCACTCCTCTTTCCTGTTGTCCAACAGAGAAGCCTGTGAAACATATTACTCTCTGGGCATAAGAAGGCAGATGGATGAGAAATAAAGTGCTCCAATTACTTTTCTGTGTCTCCTCTCATCTTGCCACCTCTCCCTGCCCTTTACTCGCTCCCTCAATTTCAGAGCAGGGAAGATTGATGGAGAGAAGGAGGGGGAGATGATTGAGGTAAAATCGAAGATTGGTTCAGAGTGTCAAGTAGCACTGAGCGGTCTGTGTGTGTGTGTGTGTGTGTGTGTGTGTGTGTGTGTGTGTGTGTGTGTGTGTGTGTGTGTGTGTGTGTGTGTG